GCTTGGGGGATGTGAGGTGTCGTGGTTATAATCGTGGTTTTGGTCATCGGTATCATTGGTCGTACGTTCGGTGTTTTGGGTTTTATGGAGGAGGTGGTGAAGATAGACCTTCGCGCCTAGGAGGACGATTTGTTGCTTTGCAGCCTCGGATTCGTCTGCAAAGCCCTTTGCCAAAATTCGTAGGACATCTGGGGCAATGTTGTTGCCCACATCGACTCCGGCAAACTCGCCCACCAGCCATATTATACTGGCCCTTGCATCGGGGCTGGTTGTCGTGTCTAGGTGCTTAGCTAACATAACAACTGTCTTTTTGTGAGATGCTGGATCCTGTTGGATAAGATGCCTAATGACAGTTAGAGCTTCTGAGACAAGGTTATCATCTGCGCTGGATATTTGACTCAGGAGAATGCGAAGACATCGTGCTGCAGTGGAAGCGTCACTCTGAGAACATCTACCAATTGCCCGTACGCTTTCACGAACGAGGTCAGGCTGCGATTCATTTGATGAAAAGTGCTCTAGTTCACTAAGAATGATGCCTTTAAAATGCATCCCGCAGTGGGGGAAGAGGATAGTCAGGATTTCCAATTTTAACCTCCATATTTGCGGAACATCGGATGACCGTATTAGGAAATGAGAAGTGTATTTCACGAAGGGTTTCGGGTTAACGAGCGCCACACAGATGATATTATAGAGCGCGACATGTTGAATACCCTGCGGGCTACGTAGAAGGGCGACCAGTGGTCCAACTCCGGCTTCTAGATGCGCAGGCGTTCCAACATAGAGAAAGAGGCAGACGACGCTCACTATTACAGCAGCATTCCGGCTCTGTAGTAAAGCCTTACACGTTTTGAGAAGGAGATCGAGATCCGGGTCGATTATCAGGATGTCTTCGCCATACTCCTGAGCTTCTCTACTGCCTTCCTCATCATCATCATCATCATCATAAAATTCCTTTGAAGTGGTAATCCGTATTCTTTCTGTTCTCCTGGGAAAGCATTTCCTGGCATATATCACCATTAATCGTAGGGTTGCAAGTTGACCCCATTCATCCATATCCACTAGCTTCCTAACCAGGCTCCGATAATGTTTATGGATTAGGTCGATCCGATCGGGACATACTTCAAGAAACGTCGACACCGCAGGCCCCGCAACAAAATACTGGCTGTCCCCTAGGAGCGTAGAAAGGCATTCCAAAAGCTGAGGTAACGTAGACGGGTCTAAACTGTAGCATTTCGGGATGGCTAGGGCGGCAGCTTTGCGAACATGGGGACTCATATCTCCACACCCGCGTTTAATGGCCAACGAGACAATCTGGCTAATCACGGGAACCCTGATTCCGGACATTGTCCGCAAAGCCATGGCGCGCACTTGGGGGTTCTGATCGGTCAGGGACTTTTGAATGGCGTTGATTGAAAGGAGCGCAAGGTCAGGTTCGGCCTCGGCATGGTGGAGCAGGTATATATAGACCAGTTTCTTAACCTCGATGTTTGGATTTGCAACGTTCTTCACAACCGATGAGAAGAAGGGGAGACACGATTCGGCCCTGTACATTAACTGAAACCCCCAGACGTCAGTATTTTTCTTCGTCATTCTAGAGCTCATAAAACCTACTGATATGACTTTTCGAAGGCCGTCTAATATGTCCCTATCACTCCTGCTGTCGAGGAGCTTCTTGATCTGCGAGAACGTAGCAGGACGGTGCGAGGTCGACCTGAACGCGCCCCTGGCATTGGTGGCGCTTTGAGCTGCTTCGATAGTGAGTTCCCGAGCTAAAAACACTGGGTAAGATATACGGATGCATTATATTTGATTAAGGGGACTCGATATTACGAAATCGAGAATGTATACCTGTTTCTAGCATCGAGGAAATGCGCGAGATAGACTCCATCTCTCTTAACCACCTCCAGCAGCTGCCCGCACCCACAACTAAATCATGGAACGGGAGTCAGTGGAGGGTGGGGGGGGGGGGGGGGGGGGGGGGGGGGGGGGTGAGAGTGTAGGTATGTGTGGTGTGGAATAGCCCGATATGACGCTTGGTTGTCTGAAGTTGCCGAGGGTTGGATCTGGCTCAGGGATCTGAGAAGGAAGCTTTTGGTGGCGTTGCCCTCCGCGCTAAAGCGAACCACCCACAAAGCCCCATGATGGCATCAATGGCAGCCCGCCAACCTGATAATAACCATACGATATTTCAGGACATTTGGCAATGATATATCGATGCCTTACTACACTCTCTTCACCAAAATATACGGGGATAGATAAAAATGCTGCTGCCATGAAGTGTATAATATCTCTCAGATAATTTACCTTGCGAAGAGGACATGTCATCCTCTAGGCTTGTTTATATATAGAGAGAGCTGCAATCCCTCCTCGATAACTATGGTCTTCAATCCCAACCCGACCATCCAATCCTTCGAAACCGCAGTAGAATTTGTGGAATATCTGCTTTACAAAGACGCCTCTGCAACTACGCTAATTGTATGCTCCACCAGAGACGTCTTCATACATCAGCTATGCGCTTCAATGGCGGCCCCCACATCCGGAACTCAACAACATCCAGATGCGTCCTCTCAAGGTGACCATGAAGGCAACAAAAGTCATTTGCTCTCTAGCCCTGGACTCTATAGAACCATCGGGGCAATAGCCGCGTCTCAAAGGATTACACTGAGATTTTGCCCCAGTCTTGAGCATTTCCGTGCCTATCTGTCTACTTTCTCTCGCCGGCCAGGATCTTCTTCCAAGCACGCAGATGCGCTCCGCAACCAGAGCATGCCCGCGTTGGCTGTGCTTGGCCTTGTTGCTCTTCACTACGATACAAGAGAGTTTTCTGCCCAGGGAATTGCACAATCCCTTGCGCTCACTGTGGAGATTGCCGCTCGGGAGAATGTGAACCTGACCCTATGCGAGAGCACGGTTGTCGGTCAGGAAGATGCCAGCGGCGGCAGGTTGTGGAATGTCGATGTCCCGTTGCTAAGTGAGCAGACCAGGGCGACGGGGATGGGAGGGGAGAGTGCCCACGCAGGTCGCACCGTGAAGGTGAAACAGGTTGCGAAAAGATGGTTTGACTTTGTGTGATTGAAGAAAGGAAAAATTGTGAAGAAAAGGAGAAACTATATTTGAATTTTATGACGTCCGCCTCGAGTTCCTCCATATCTATGCCAGAAAAACACCCAGTCCAGAACCGCGAGGATATGAAAAAAAAAAGAAAAAAGAGCATCAATTACCATAGGTATCTAAACGACAACCCATCGACACTCTCAAGCGATACATTC